GACTAAAAGCTATTGTAATATCAGGTATTGCTAAAGGCTTCTCAAACTCTAATCCATTCTGTTCTTTGCCGTGAACTGCTACCTCCATATTTGCGGCCTGTCTAGGTGCGGACTGCAGAGTTCCCTACTGTTATTAGTGTTAGGATTATCATTTATAGATTAGGTCCTGCTACTAATAGACGTTATACACCACCAAGACATTTTATAGGCGTGCTACTTGGCTTTAACTTTTTCTAACCTCAGCAACACCAAAATCGATCATTTTTAGCCAGCATTGTTAGCCACTGGGTCTGAAGCACTCGATATAATCTGTAGATAAAGAGACCGAATCCTGTCCCAAGGGAACCGCATATTTGGATGATAACCTATTTATGCGTTGGTTTCGTTGCGGATGCTAGGCTCGCAAGATACCCAAATATGATTTTGCAGAAGGAATTCCACAAGCATCCTTCACTTCTACCCTTGCCCCGCAGCAGACTAATAATTCTGCGTTGCCGTAAATCAGTTTCTCTTTTGTTTCCTGTTAAGGCATTTGAAGCAGTATAAAAGTACCTAAACTACCTGTTTCAGAAATATTGAATCAGCAACCTAAGACATCAAAACCTTCCGAAGACGTCGCTTCACTCAACCGTTACCTTATCAAACTCATTTTAGAAATACTCTAGGATAAATCTACTTCACCATAAAATTTTATTTTTTCGGCAATTAATCAGCATCTATCAGTTTAGTCAGGGATTAGATTGGATGAGAGCGCACACCTCTTGGGTCGCAAAGGACCGTCTAGCTCTAAACGACCATTTTGCTTTAACTTCAGTTTTTGGACACATAATTAACTCGGCCGAACTTTGCAAACCAAAATCTAATTAATAAGCGTTATGAAAGATTCGAGTAAATCATCTGACCTAACTCGGAAAAAACTCGGTGGCCTCGGTAGAATTTAAACCCATGACAGCATGGGCAGATCGCAGTCAACGCTCTAACCACCAGAACTACGAGGCCCCGCCTGAGATTCGTGAATTTAAACACAGTTTTCAGGCTACTTTGCGTAACTCATCACTGATGCAGGTGGTTAGAACGTTGACTGTATTCTCATCGTGTCCTTGGTGTCGTGGTTTCCAATCCCACTGAGCCCACTAATTTTTTTACAATTGGGTCAAATTTATAAATTTTAATTACTAAGAGATGCACCCTTATATCAACAAGGAACAGGCTATTCCCATATGTAAGAATTGGAAATACTGATACTTGTTATCACATGAGTATTACTAAAGACATTCTTCTGGAGATGGAGGTATGGAATTGAAAACTAGTGAGAGTGAATAACCGCATGACAATAGTTGTGGAGACATGCCAGATAAATGCGCTGATATCTCTTGCTTAGTCACTGCCATCACTCGTCCACGATCTTTTGGTTGGTACATGCTAACGTTAGCAAACCCGCACACCCACACGACACGTCTAGAACAGACTGGCATGCAAACCAAGGCCACCTAGTCATGTCGACCGACCGCCCCAGAAAAGAACAAGACACGCACGTCCAGGCCATCGCAAGGACTTAGGCTATGGGAAACTCGACACACGCGCATCTGTATACAAGATATTCGCCTAGTTACCATGCACCTACGAAAGCAGGGCAACATCTACTTCGGCCACTACGACGAGGCTCACCACTGTCTGTACGGCACAATAGTGACTTGCGCACAAATGCGTTTAGTAAATTGGACTTTCGTGGCATCTATCTCACTTTGCTACACCCAGGCCTACCGTATTCCAATGGCAACACAAATGGAAGATTGAAAGTGGGCAGGAAGCAGTCACTGAGTGCTAAGTAACCTGTCCACGTCCGCCACGCACGGCCTGGCTCCTAAATCCACGGGGACCGAGATTCGAAGAAGGAGTATCACGAATCCCACGAATACAACCTCAAGGAGTTTGAGACAGCATCCCAGGGTTCCGTTTAAAGTGAGTCCCCCCTGCCGGTGTCTTTCCACTTGCTTTTTAGTATGAATTTGCCCAGTTGTTGTAGTGGTTAAGATAAGTCTATTAATTTGCCCCTACGGCTAGATAAGGTGATTTTGGAAGGCACCTCGGAGCATGCTTTTACCGTTTGTCTGGCCATCACATAGCTGAATTTTTCGACGATCTATCCTACCCCCCAACTCCGTCTTCTTAATCGACAGCTAGAACTGCGAGTAAAACAGGAGGACACAGCATCGCTTACCCAGGCAAAACCCAAATGCCATAATGATCATTGTCTACAAAGTTCACGATCACATTTGTGTTTTCTTTAGCTCGAACAGTAATTTGCTGTTTCCCTGGGTGGGTCTGGTAACGTGCGCCCGGCACAACAGCAAGCCAAAGCACACTGCTGGTGGAAGTGCCCTTTCCACCCTGAGGAGTACGTGCTTCGCATTGTGCCGCAGCCTAAGTCTCATAGGCCAAATAAAGTGTAGCCTTTGTGATGGTCGTAAGGAACGGCATTTTCATTCGTCTGCGTGCCATAAAAATATCTCTAGACACCGCAAATGTGGAAGTGGTTGGAAAGATATGACCCCTCTTTACCTTATGTTCCACTATATATTTTCAGAAACTCATTTCCTTTCGGATGAACTGACATAACCTTGCAAATAGGTCGTGTTTTAACACCAAAGAAACCCAACTTGTAAAGTACGAAAGTCATCGATTTCTTAAGCCTACGACTAGGTTCTTCGATGGTCTTGCTTTTCCGCACATGTCATGCGGTTGACTTATAGAAACAGTTTGAGTTCCGCAAATATTCCTATGTTACGCTTGAAAAGTCAATTTGGCAAGCACGTGTTTTCGGTAATTTTACGGAGGAATGAAAATATACAGATGCGCATCACTCTAGCCGCCAATCCCTGGACTAAATTTCGTTTGATGTTTAGGAGAACAAAACTTCGGAAATTAACGTATTGCCCCATCCAGGTTTTCTGTCGGAATACCCTGCGCTGGATAGACCCATCCTCTTTCCTATGCAGGACATCGCGAAAGACAATTTCGTTATCTGCCTCGGCCTCTGAAGTGAACTTTACCGAGAGGTGCACACTGTTGAACTTTTGGACGAGGTCCTCGGTATTGGTGGTACCATCCCCCAGGCAGAAGATATCGTCCACATAACGACCGTAGAAGACGAGGATGGGACAATACGTTAATTTCCACAGTTTTGTTCCCCTAAATATCAGACGGAATTTAGTCTAGGGATTGGAGGCTAGAGGCGCATCTGCTCGCCTGAAGCTATTGAAGCAGAACTCCAACAGCTGCGCGACACACTTTGTGAGAACGGATACCCAGATAGATTTATCCTCCGAAATATTGGGGAACGCACCGCAAAGCCTACCGCTGTGACTGCTGAAAAGGAAGATGTATTCATAAGACCGCCTTTTGCAGGAGACGCAGAGAGCGAACTAATCAGACGGCGCTTAACTACAGCTATCACGAGGGCAGTCCCCGCGGCGAATTTACGCCTATGCTTCAAACTCTCCCCTCCTACGTTTGGGAGATAAAGACTACCGTTGGAGGCCACATCAATGTGCCTTTACTCATTCACTTGCTCCTGTGGAGCGGGACACATTGCTCGTACAACGAGTCGTCTGTTAATGAGGGTGCGTGAACATGCGCCAGCCTGGCTAGACAGAGGTGAGACCAGGTCGATTTTGAGTTCCATTCTCGCACATTTAGTCGATACGGATCACCGAGTGGATGCCAAGGAAGAATTTCAGGTTGTCTACCGGACACCAACAGGCTTCTCTAAAGGCCTACGCCAACGGCTGCTAACAACGGCCGAGGCAGTGGCTATACGGTTAGCGAATCCAATGCTATGCTGTCAGAAAAAGCTGACATAAGCGCTCTCTCTACTGTGGCCAACGCCAATCTCAAGTGATGACGACATGCCGCCCCAAATCCCTAATTACAGTGATGGTTACCCCGTGTACTCACTCCAAGAACATCACTCAAAGACTCTCTTACCCCCCCCTTGTAGTCCTGAGGACCAAATCCCTCCGACCTCGTCATGCGGGCGATGTGGGATGAGTGTTAATGACTTAATAGCCCTTGAGACACCTATAAACACTGTTAGTTTTGTATATTTTCATTTATCCATGTAACTGTACTGGCCTGACGAAGAATTACCGAAAACGCGTGTTTGCCAACTTGACTTTTCAAGAAACAGTTTAATGGATAGAGCGGCAACTGGATATTCCTGCCCTGAGAAAGCGGGCAGAAGTCTGCCCGGCTACCAGTCTGGAGGGCATACTTTCCACTGGGAATTGGTTGCCATGGTAGCAGTTAAAGTGATTATGGTAGTCACAAAAACTAGGCAGCGTTTACGACATTAGCTGCACACTGTTATTGCTGACCAGTGTTCCCCATGTTCCAAAACGCAAGTCCAACTTAAGTTTCAAAACGACAACTGAAATGAAACCACCCGACTTTCGAGGTTCGTCGCTCGACAAGAACGAAAAACGGATGTCATTTTTTTCCTCCTGAGATATCAAACCAGTCTACCGTAAATCATTACGCTGTGCGCCTACAGATACTGCGAAACACTTTAAAAATTGCTGCCTAGAGTGGGTGAAATCTGCCGAGACCAAACAAGCCATTATTGGTAGGAGCATCGTCGACCTCCTGATTATAAGTTAAACAAAAGAAAAGAAGGACATTGAGGTGAGAGCGCCGTTGACGGCCGGAGCAGAAGTGAAATGAGGTGGAGGAGGGAAGGAAAAGGGAAGTGCCCGCATGCAGTGCCCTAAAAGACTTGTGCTGTCTGACACTTAGGTTGGACAGGCGCAGAGACACAGGCATAAACACATATGAAATCGCCATGGCAGGGTACAGGACTGTGGGAATGTTAGAAAAAAGTACTTTCATAGACAATGCCTGTGGATGTCAACTAGACGTAGGGTCTGGCCGGAGTTCGATTATCATCCTGTCCCTTGTCAGGACTGTGCTTGTGTCTCAAAATGCGCCACGTTCATCCGTAGCTACTTCAATTTGGACGCAACACAAGAGGAGTGCTTTCCGTCAGCGGTGACGTTGGAGCCCTGGCTTGACACCTCGCGCGCCTTCTGGAAAGACTGAGATCGGCAAACCATACTGTCAGATCGATTAAGGATGGTGCGAGTAGTGTGCGCCGACTTGGGCTGTCGAAAGGGACGTTCTGGTGGGGAACAGGAAGTTGTTACGGACCGGCTGTCACCAACAGCGAGATCTCGGTGTCCATGATGCGTGGTCTGGTGCTGTGGTTGTTTATTTCGTGTAATGGGAACCTTCCCGCCGGCAGATTTTGCCCGAACGCGGCCTTGTACAGATGAGCAGGAGGTAGACCAACTTTCATGCGATCTCCGACCCCTGTGGAAGACCGTTCGTGGGTGTGGAGCGACCCCTGAGGCAGAAGGAGGTCTAGAAGAATTGCGAGACTTGATAACTGCCGTACCTTGAGCCACCATTTCGGCTTCTAGACATGAGATCGCGGGAGCAGTAACTGGAGTTATAAAGTACTGCTTGTACTGACGTAGCAACTCCTCACGAGAAATTTCGCGACTGGCCTTTATGTTCCTCAGGCGATGAGCAATCATCTGGGCGGAAGGACAAGGCTTTAGGATTCTCGCTACCGACTTAAGAGCAGGATAGGCAACAAATACCGCTGATCAGAGGTTTGCTAGGGTTCACAGATTGCAATCTGATTTGCTGTTGCTTAAGACAATTATCGGCATGATCTGAAGGGCACTTCTCATCCAGTTTAAGGATTCGAATGCGTATTTAGACTAGGAAACAAGTGAACCTCAAATATCTAACTATTAATGGTTGAAGACTAGAAGAAGGTTGCAATAATTATTTTTGAATTATTTATGCTTACAGTCAAAAACAGAAGTACAGTAGATGTGCTAACTCATGAAACGTCAACCAAAATTTCCAAATGCGTTCTCGTTTCGAAAAGATAAATTAAGTAGTGTTGTAAAACTAATCATGATGCAGCATAAATATATAATGATACAGTTACCTCAGGGTGTCGGCTTTCGAAAGAACTTATTTTCGGCTGCATGCAAGATCTATACTCTGCAAAAAACGACTACTTAAGTAGTATGCAATTTTCTCATTGATTTTCGATGCCCTTGGAAATTCAATTATATTTCATGGAAAACATGCATAAAAATATTCATTCTTTTACTTATTCGGTAGAAAATCACGTCTTCTTCCAATTTCTTACTCAAAAGAGGAGTATAATTCGGTTTTAAAAAAACTTTTCTAATTCCAGAATAATTTTTAACCCGATCTGCTATTACGCTTGATTTCAGGGTTTCAAAACTACAAGCTGTATATTTTCCGTGGATGGAAAACCACGCATTTCTCTACGGTGTTGAGAGGACACCATATGAGGCTCATAAAATTAGGCAGTGGATTTGAGCAATATTGTTAACTTTACAAGCCACATTCGTAAATGCGGATACATGACGTTTCACGAACGGCCATTTAACGATATTAAAAAATATCACAATTAGAAAATTCTTTAAAACTGAATTATACTCTTCTTTTGAGTAAGAAATTGGAAGAAGACGTGATTTTCTACCGAATAAGTAAAAGAATGAATATTTTTATGTATATTTTCCATGAAATATAATTGAATTTTCAAGGGCGTCGAAAATCAATGAGAAAATTGCATGCTACTTAAGTAGTCATTTTTTGCAGAGTATAGATCTTGCACGCAGCCGAAAATAAGTTCTTTCGAAAGCCGACACCCTGAGGTAACTGTATCATTATATATTTATGCTGCATCGTGATTAGTTTAACAACACTACTTAATTTATCTTTTCGAAACGAGAACGCATTTCGAAATTTTGGTTGACGTTTCATGAGTTAGCACATCTACTGTAGAAGTTAACGGCAAATTTCACAACAACTACAGGCAGCAGAATTTACAGAAGTAGAAGTTAACCGCAAATTTCACAACAACTACAGACAGCAGAATTTACTGGTAACAGCAAAATTTACGACAGCTTACCAACAGTAACCCGTCGCTGCATAACACAGATAACGAGAAAGAAGCATACAGTAAGTTGCATTTGCGTACAAAATCAGTGTAAAACAGCACGGTTGTTGTTTAGTGTACACAGACCAAGTAATTAAAGTGGTAATTTAAAAACGCAATTTACGGAGGAAAGGGGGTAAATCAAAGGACTGGGAATTACTAGAGCAAGTTTGGGTTGACCGCGTTGCCTAGGTCGGGTTTTTCCCGCCGTATGAAGTCTGCTTACAAAGAGGGCAACATCAGAGTCGTTCGTGCCCGTTGTCTGGGAGCGGCCACTCCGTTGACCCCAAAGCATCCCTCCAAGTACTTGTTCGGGCACGAATAACTCGGGCATTGAGCTACTCGGGAGCAGCCTGCAATGCAGGGGGCAAAGCGCAATCGATGCAAACAGCTGAACGACGCAGTCAAACCCAACTTGCCCTAAGCATCCTCAGTCTTTCGATACACACACCAATTTTCCCTCCCAAACTGTACACTAAACAATGACGTTGCTACTTTGCACTGATTTTCTGTGCAGATTTAGCTCGCTGTATACTTCCTGTTCGTTGTCTGTGTTACGCAGCGACGGGTTGCAATTGATAAGCTGGCGCGAAACTTGTTACTACCAGTAAATTCTGTTGTCTATGCCCGTTTTAGATTCATACCGGAGGATGGGTGACTCAAAAACTGCAAACGTTGTCAAAGTTTCCGGTGAAGTCATTGTCAAGCACCAGTTCTGACTAGGAAATTTTTTATTACGCTCCGGGCGAACCCACATGATAAATTTCCATCACCCTCCAGGGGGGCGTTATGTATGTAATAGCGCAACCACTCCAGTCTTCAGGTCCGGCTTGTTCGTAGTTTTATGAAGACGATGAGGAAGAGAGTAAAGCCTTCTCAAAGTTGAGGTACAGTTTATCTATTGATCTAAAGGTGCTTCAAATTACTATAGCCAATAATTCAAAGTTTTATACTCCAGCCCCCAAACGCAATAGAAATGCTGCAAAGATTTTCTGTACTTAAACTTTTCACCGGAAGGCTGCTTTGTCTGTTTATACTTTTAATAAATCATAGTTCGAGTAACCCATACTTAGTCATATAGTCGCTCTATGCAGACTTAAACGCGTGACGAAATTAGTTTGCCTATGCTGGGAGCTGTTGAGAACGCAGACGGTGTACTTGAGAATTACAAGGATTTTGCAATTTTAAATATGCTGCGGGGATGGTCTTTCCTCGCTCAAGAGGGTCTTTGGTGGCGACATTTTTCATTGTGTTAAGTCACTAACTTTGCAACTTATTAAGGGAATGACCTGTAGTTAAGTCATCGGAACATGAGTTTTCAGGGGTAACCTCGAAATGGTAAGAAACAAGCATGTTGAAATCTTTAACTTAACGCTTATATCTGCAGTTCTTATACAAGAAACCGCGTAGAAAACACCGTGGAATCTATTGAAGAGACGAACCCCTCGAGGCTGCCTCACACAGCAGCAGAAACGTCGATAAAACACGTGTCCGGGCTATTAGCTCGCACAGTGAAGCCGATGTCCCTTTTTATCGGGGTGAAATGAGCCTAAACAGAAAGATCCGTTGGCAGTTGATTCCACGCCAGACACTCATTATTTCAAAAATACTGTGATTACCTAAGAACGTAGGCCGCCAATGTTCCTACGCTATGCTTTTAAATTGTTTTGAGTGGTTCTGTTGCGCCAGACCAAACCCGGCAATGAAAAATCGAACGATTGAAGCCTATTCCGCATCGGCTTATGTTGCGCGCAGGAGACGGAAGCGTTGATCTCATCTTCAGTTGGTTTGACTCGGCCTAGCCGCTTGTTCATGATAAGAAGGGGGTGAGGTCGAGCCTGAACGACCCTTCCTTTTTATCACAACTCTTACCAGTCTTTTAGTTATCATGTCAAGGCCAAATCGAATCGTCTTGGCCTGGTCTGGCCATCACATCAGAATTGAAGTCGGAAGACGGAGTGCGATAGGTGGTTCTCAAGTCACACTTGACATAACTCGAGCGCACTACTCTTAGGAGGATGTGGTTCTGATCAGTTTCGAAGATCGAGTAGTCGTAAATCCTATTCACAGATTACCTTAAAAAAGTGTACTTGAGCTTATGAGGGTTTCACAGCGACGTGCAAGGCAATCAGGGCTGACGAAGATCGTACTCGATCGATCGATTTTACAAAATGCTGGTATGATAATCAACCCGTTAGGCATGCTGTTCTGCAGTTCAGTGAAAATTAAACCGCCGTCCGTATGGGCAAATATAGCGTGTAGACGATGTCTGGTTTCGATGCGTGGAGTCAACGTAATAAAAAGTATGGCCAACATGTATTTTCTATCACACTACTTTAACACAATACACAGTGGTTATTCGCATAAAAGATCCCCAGAGCAGGATGTATATAAAAAAGAGTCTGTCGCTAGGGCACTAGTTCGGATAGTTATGTGATAACAGACTTTTAAATGAGAAATTTCCATGAATCCTAGCTTCTAAGGTGGTGCGCCTCGAACGGAAAAAGGCAGCTATTGGTCGTATCTTTGCGCAGACAGACTAGAAGCATCCTCGGATGTAAACAGTACTGATGGACGAGATAACCAAGCTGCCCTCTATACAAGAGCTAACATCGTCGGCAACAGCCTCTTAAGCGTGCGCACGCATAGAAAAGGGTATTGTACACTATCTAGGTTTATCTAGGTTTTATAAAGTCACAAACTTTTGCATTCCGAATAAAGTTTCAAAGTGTGAGCTACGGAAGAAGGTAAAGTATCGGATAAATAAATAAATTTTCTGGAGAAAACTACTTCTATCCTACTTTTTAATTATCCGAAAGGAAACTTGGACATTCGGTGATATGTATCTATTTAATGAACACCGTTTAAATGCTCCAGGAGAAGCAACTTGCGGACGAAGAATTTGTACCGTTTTGGCTGAAAGTTTACATGGTTTTGGCCGATCAGAGAAGGCGTCAGTTGTTCTAGTTAACTTTTTATCTCAAAAAATGACGCCAATTTCCATTTTTAGAAGGATTAATTGAATTAAGGATACATCCCGAAAGCCTTTGCTGTATATTAGGATGTAAGGGGAAACTTGGGAAATGTTGTGAAACTGATTTGTGACCGCATTTCGGCCTTCTTATGGACAGGTTTTTGTTGTATTCTATGTGATTTTGTCAGTTATCCCAACCCATTCCTTCCAGAAGTATTAATATCTAGAAAATTGTTCGTTGTACTCCCAACACAGACACGGGCTATAAACTGTAAATGTGTGCTTCGTCGTTCTTCTGCTGCCATACGGCGCAACTGAGAGATTTTGTCTCTGAGGCCAGTTCACGGATTTGCCTATGTCACGTACAAACTTCTTCAGGACAAATGGAAGCGAGCGCGGCCAATACTCAGGGCGTGACGAACTGCGATTGGCGCACATTGGTGCAGGTTCCAGCCAACCGTAAAATCACTTGTTCGACATGGTCAAATAATTAACTGTTTTTGTACCCCACCCAAAAGTCTAACGACGAACTGGAAGATCAGCCTCGAAAATTTCCGTAATAAAGGTCATTTTGTTCCCATAGAATTTCATTTATTTCAGATTAAATTTCTTGAGATGCCCGTTTTCCGATTTTAGTCGAGACAATCAGAGAATCAATAACTAGCTCAGGAAAAGTCGCCGGGACAGTTGTTTGGTCCATCACCCACTAATGTCTCAAAGGTGAACTTCAGTGCTATCAAATTCAGCAACAAACCTACAAATACACATCTGCTATAATTCCATTGGTTTCATTTGTAATAAAAGTCTCTCCCTGTACTTCTGGCACTAGTATTTTGACTTCTAATTTGTCCATAAAAAACCTATGAAAAAAATGGAACTTTTTCTGTCACGTTACATCTGTTGTTGGGACGAATTTAAAGGTCAAATCAATTAGTGGAAAATGTGGAGAGACGCCTACTAAAATTTCCTCCAGTTTTTAACAAAGAAGTGGGTGCGAAACTCACAAAATTTTCAAACTGTATGCGTTCTTGCTGTCTCCATCTGTTCAGAGTAGAATGGTAAGGCCGATGAACAGCAATGTGAGCGGCAGGCCAATCTGACTTTCGGTTGCTCGACACTTGCTCATTGTACTCTTTCAACATGTCCTCCATCAAATGATCTTCATCACTAGGCAAAGGACGCGAGTTGGGATCACGCCAGGGTGGACGCAGACGCCGAAATTTTCCACTTTTACTCAGGTCTTTGAGAGCTAGAGCTATCTGTCGGACACTCATTTGCTCCGACTCCAACGATTCCTGCATCCTGGTGCCACTGGTCGAACTGTGCCGAAATGAGACATCGGCAATGTCTCTTCCAGCTTCTGACAAGCTTGTCTGACTTGCTGCACCTCCTGCTACCTCCTCCCAGGCATGTCGATCGTCACATTCGCGGGGAGGTTGCGGTGCCTTGTGCAAGAACGAGGCCGGTGACCCTCTGATCTGGGTGGATTCTGTGCTACACTGATCGGTAGAGGCAGATCTCAAACATTCTAGGGGTTCTTCAGTGTAGCTAGCGTTGTCGCCGCAAGGTGAAGTGTGTCCTCTCTCCTCGATGGCTGGGAAAACTAGTGCACTCTGCTTGTCTTGTTTGAAGGCCAGGCCTTCACCTTCATCCCCAGCTCTCTCTTCGTCAACACTGTATTTGGTAGTCGGCTCAGAGGCCGTGCGGGTGATTGAAATGAGACCTTCGGGGGTAGGCAATCTGACCTCCACACCATGCTTCAGGTTATTAACAGAATCCGCGGAAATATTAGGCTGAGAACAATCAAGTTCATTTGGTGTGTTGGTTTGATGTTGTGCCTCCTTGTTGTGGCAGTTTTCAGCCATTGATTCAACACTTTAGAGGAAACAAGTATATCAAATGTAGGGAAAGTAATGATTAAATATCCCACGTTACTAGTTGTTGACCTGATCAGAGAAGTACCGGTTAAGAAAAAGCTTGTTAGGGGTTAAATGGAGTCTTTTCTCCTTCGCTTTCTTATAAAACAGGTACTTTACATGCTAGTTTTTTCTTAATGGAAACCACACTCAATAACAACCCCCACACGTCTAACAGCAATGAGGAGTAGAAAAAGTGTGTAAACGGTTTTCCTACACAGCGGCCAACTTTCATTTCCAGATATCCATCCTTTGTTAGGAGTTGAACATGGTGAGATCGCAAGGCGCGAAAGGGTAAGTGAGGAAAGACCGGCCATAACTCCGGCAACTGCATTTGTCCAAGTGAGCTTTTTCCAAGGGGTAGACAAGTTAAATAGATATTTCTAATAGGGTAACTGTCCGAATCCCAAGACTAGAGGAAAGGAGACAGTGCAGATATAAATTATTGTGCCGGCCTTGGAAAAACATCTTAATTGACGTTGGCCAGATTGCAAGTTCCACGCATGATACATATTTAGTAAGGATCCATCAAGTTCACGAATAACGCACCTGGATGTTTTGCATGACTAAAAATAAACAAACTTGGAGTTCCCACGAGGACTTCGACCGACATTCGGCCACATAGATCGTTGAAATAGAAGAGCTTAGCTAACTATACTTTCTTATGATGTGGAAAATCAGTGGACCTACTTCCTGTGAGATTTTCCAGGACATCTGGAAGTATTTGTTCATAAAACAAATCTTCCCGTAAGAGAATAGTTTTAATTTCACATAGTAGAGTGTCTTGAAAGTCGAAGATCATCCTAATTAAAGACACATGGTAAGTAAACGCTTACTGTAAGAAGTTGGGGTGTCCTAAGTATCTTTACCGAAATACGAAAGGTGTTCAACTGACCTTTTTTGTCATGACGAAAACAAAAAATAAATCAAGCTAATAAGGGGACATTTGAACCGGTTCTGGTATACTTACCACTGAAAAGTACGCAAAATAAGACTAATTATACACCGTTCATTCGAAAATCATCTGGGATCAATGACGATGCCAACCCCAGTCGCACCTCTACGTAAAATGTCTATCGTGGTTTAAGAAAGCGTAATTAAGTGTAGGTCGACGAAAGAGGACTAAAAGGACCTGAGTGTTATTAACTTATGACGAAACGGAGTGAGAAGTGGCGCTGGTATATAGGCGTTTAGAATGCACGCAATTCAGTTGTGCCAGCATACGACGAGCAGCGTTGCAAGAAAATTAATGCTTCCTAAATTTATGTAAATCCAGCCATAACAGTGAGATGCTATTAAGAAAGTTGTCTAAGCTTGAAAGCATGTAGGCTGCTACTATAAAAATACCAATGCCAGGGGGTATACGTGAAAATATTGCACTGTTGATTGCTATTTCGGAAATGCGCATAAAACGAAGCAGCAACTTGAACATTTTAGAAGTATTTATGAAGACCCGCTGTGATGTCAAAGGCCCTATCGGATACAAGGAAATGCATTTCCTAAGTGCTCTTTCGTTCGGTGACCTCGCTGCGATTTACCTGGTTATACCTAATATTTTGATCAACTTGTCACTCATTAAAAACCGCCACACCTTTAAACGTGTAGTCACCCTATTTTCGAGGTTTCTAATTAGAAAACGGTTCTACGCAAAACATTTGCCACAGTAGCGAGTGCGCATTCATATGAGAATGGATTCTGATACATCAACTGATGTATCAATGGACTTTCAAGTCTATGTCTAAAATGTGACATGGATGGGTAATCGAAAAGCAATCTCGAATGATACAATGCATAATTGTGCTTAGTTAGTCTGCCAGAAAGGAAGGCAGTTTCCACGGAGTGCTTTCCACAACCAACTTTGGGAGAGAGATCCCTGCCAGCATCAGCCCAACCGAGCCCAATTCGGAGCAATCCATAGGAATTCCTATGCAGTGACTTAATTAAGTGTGTATTGAACGACCCGGGCTTGAAGCAGAAGCTATTACGGTGGCGAGTGCACGAAATAAAGGTCACACTCCTGCCATCAAACATCCTCTCCAAGGGTACAATATCCGTATATATATTATACATTTTAATATCTGAAGATAGTAAAATTATTGGACGGGGCTAGTGCTAGCAGGGGTCATACTCAAGACGGTAGAATTTAAGTCAAAAACTTTTGATGGCTAAATAAATTGATATAACTAGTTTTGATAACTACCAAAACTTGAAAACCGTTATTTTTTCTGCGGTTGTAATAAATGCACAACCCCACTCGACCTTAACCGGTCACGTTTATATAAACATCGTCAAGCATTTAACGGATTTTGTGCATTTATAGTAACATTTTGCCTTCCAACTGCCTACTTACACTTGGTTTAGGCGACTCGATCTTCCCGCTTCATAATCGTCGTCAAAAAATGAAAAATCTACACAGCCCGCTTGATTATCACCAAAATTATGCATAAAGTGGGACATTTGTCTAAACTTGTAGATCTGCAAACCTATTCACCAGCCAATCGTTCTGCAGCCCGGTTTTACACACCGAATCACGCTGAAAGTTTACAACCAACCCCCACCAACGGAAATACTAAGGCCGCTTTCATCAAACTCGCTACGATTCGGTTTATTGAGGGAAATAGGAACAAGCATTTCAGTACTTTTTGCAACTTGAAATTGGGTACAGTGTACAGAAAAATAGTGTGGTCTGAAATAGTTCAAATGTGAAGACAATAGTGCGATAAACTATGCGTAGATTCGATCTCCCATTGTTCTGTCTCATCAAGGAACATAAATACTTAAGTGTCCCTTTTGAAGCTTCCCATTTGCGGTGATGTAACAACGAATACGGGGAGGGCATTCCGTGGCTTGACCATTCTGATAGAGAAGAAGAAATTCTGTGCATCCAGTCTCGCCTGCTGAATGCACAGTTTTAACGGGTGCCCCGGACGCTGATCGTGGTGGCAAATTACAAAATCCTCAAAGGCCAGATTGCAATTTAATCCGCTTACAATGCTGAATGCCTGAATGAGATGCCTGCGCAGGTACCGGTTTTTAAGACGTGTTGCCTGGAGGAGGGAGGCTTGGCCCTTAAAAACTTTTGTGGCTCTCCTGTGGACTCTATCAAGACCATTTTGGTCTTCGATCGTCAGCGGCCTCAGGGATCTGGGACGCCAAGGCACTTACGTTGAGCACCGGTCCGCTGATTAGAAAACCTGCCCAGATGTTTTAACTCCAAGGCAACTCCCGATTGTCATTTTATCCGTGACGCGTGTCTAAATCCATTCGGGTAGTTGACCCGCCGTCTGTTGAATTATTCCAGGCATTTAATTCCCTGCGTTGAAAGCCTTATAAGATGCACAAAGACTATGAGGAGGCCAGCCCACACTTTCGACACTTTTCTTGCGGACGACAGGCCGCAAAGATGTTTCTGGAATGCACATTTTGTTTCGGGAAGAAGGTCGTAGTCTTAATGGGGACTCAGGTAATTGTTCAACTCACGAGTAAATACCTGGCCTGCAATGCTAGGGGAAGGGATCCTATGGATGTTGTAGCAGATTTATCGGCTTCATTTCCGTTGTGTACACAAACGGTAGTTACATCACTGAAATACCGCGCGAGTTATTCTTATTTCCGCATATCCTGAAGATGTGGGACAGGCTTGTCCATGAGCTGAAGACTGCCGCGTTTGTAAATTGGGGCTCAAAATGAGCCGACCTTCGGCGCCTTTCCGTCAGACATCTGTTTTAGCACCTTCGCTGTCTTCCGCAGATAACTGGCAACGCACTGCAATTCACTTCAAGGGGTCGATTGAAGGTTTCTATGCAGACTACCGACGGGTGATTGAAAATGCTTTAAATGCCTTGCTCAGTGTTTTAGGGTCTGGGGACTTTCCGACCTTTGGGCTGTAATATTCTGGTTGGGAAGTGATGCTGAACTTGTTGACTTGCGGCCGTAGACCAGTTTAATAGCCTCAGGCAAACTTTCCACCTCACCACGGTACGTTCGTCCTTGGAGTCTTTTAATCTCGCCAGTCTGCAGAGCGTTTTGCATCTCCCTAGGGCTTAGAAACTCTAGGCCACAGCAGTTTCGGGATACGGTTTCAGAGTCATCAGTTATGTCGCTAGCGTTATTTGCGTGGGGTTTGTACTGTCAGAGAGAAGAACGAATTTCTTCATTTCGGCCATTGAGCTTGGCTTGGTGATGTCATTCAACGCAATCTACGACATCCAGAGCGATAGAGTAGGTGACTCCGCGGCGACTTAAGATTCCCACCTAGGTCGCGTACTTTTGCCTACGTGGGGGCTTCTGTCACCAGAGGCCGTCATTTTACCCGTACTCGGCTTTGTTTCGAGGGCATACAGGACTTTGCGAAATTTGTTCATCGCGTAGGTTAAGCTCAGGCAATGTCCACGGAAACCAATTTTTTCTTCGAAGTTGTACGCTTATAGTTAAGGAGCAATGCTTCAGTTTACGCAGAAGGTCTAACCTCCGCCTGGCGACTTTTTTGTTGGCGAAGTCGACTCCAGCTTTTGTCTGTTCTGTCTTTGGTCGTTTCACCGTACTAACGTATAAACGGCATATACTTCATTTATTTCCTTTTGGCCGTGCATTCATCCAAAAATACTTGCGACAATTTCTTTTCACACAATCATTTCGACTCCACACACTTGGAAACCTTTCTGAAGGTTATCGCTATTCCCCTTACTGGACACTAGCATGCTTACATTCAAGCATTGAAATCCAGTCCGTGTCTTAGCCGGAATTTTTTCCGCGGCGAAGAAGTTTGTTTATCTTCCCAACTAATAAGATTCTTGATAGTTTGTTGCGATCTGGGATAGCATTTTGGCCAATTACCAGTAGCATATAGATACTAAGAATATCGATTTTCGCAACATTCTACGCGACTGCAGTGGATGTTAAACAAATCAGAAATGCGTCTAAACAACTCTTCCAAGGAGAAGGGTAGACTCCGCCATGCTACTGACCTTCAACAACAAGCACTTACTTTAAGCCCACGTTGGCCATAGAAGCACTCATCAGAAAAGTAGAGGTTCGTGTGTTGACAGTAACGGTAAAAACGAAGAAAACAGTCTGCCCGCATCGTTAAAAAATGGGGAACAGAGGGAAGAATATGTAGGAAATACCAAAAACCAGAAAAAAACAGCAGAAAACAAACGTACAAATCAAATCCCATAAGGAATAATTCGTGAAACAAAACGACAAAAAGATATTAGCCAAAAGTTGATTTGTAGAAGATATAACAATGGCAAACCAGTGAGCAAAAAAACAACGAATTACAAACAAAAAACTGGTGTTGACAACTCAACATCCACACAGATTTAATTCCATACATTTTAATTCAATATTCGCGCCAATATTTCGGCTAAACCATTGATGCGCCGCCACAAGGGAAATGATTGGTGCACACTCTTCGATGCAAAATAGTTTGTATAAGGATAAGTTTATTCAAAATAATTGGTGACCCTGTAATAACAACCGTCGTTAAGATTAGCATATTTAAAGTGCGAACGCAAAATACATGCAAATACAGAATCCGTAACCAGATAAATTTAATAGCATTCTCCTCACACAATCATTTCAGGCTCCACACACTTCGATACCTTTCTGAAAGTCATCACTATTCTGCCTACTGGACATTTGCATACTTGCATTCAAGTATTTAAATTCAGTCCGTGTCCTAGCCTTCAATTTCTTCCGCAACAAAGAAGTTCAATTATCTTCCTTACTAACTGGAATCTTCATAGTTTATCTTAATCTGGGATAGCATTTTGGCCAATTTCCAATAGCATATAGGCACTAAGAATATCGATTTGCGTAATAATCTACGCGACTGCAGTGGATGTTCAACTCATTTGGAGTACGTCTTAGGCGTTTGTCGACTTCTAACTAGCACCTGTGCTGCCAGTATGGTGTTCTGTGATATTGATATATACTTATAGCTGCCTGTCGGCAGCAAATCCATAACACACGGTTATCTCGCTGTGGCCGATTGACTTCGGCTTTAATATTCACACACCAAACTACGGTCTGCCCCCACAGATCATAGTTTAACCTGACTTACTCCAAGTTAGTGTCTAATTTCTAAGGAAATTAAAAAGTAGCAATTTTTACTTCGGAGTATTTACCCGAAAGCACACGAGGGATGCTGGAGGGACCATTGGTAAGTCGACCTCCTCGCGGCCTTGCCATACGGCAGCAGAGTACTGGTGGAACGTGTGTCTGGGCCTTTAGCAAGTGACTGTGCTGCTGGTATAATGTCCTGTAACACTAAGGCATGCATTAGGTTTACTGACTCAAATAAAGGACTGCGGTTTTCGGAAAAAGTGGTTGGTCGGAAGTGTATAGCTACATTTACTAATTGACGGTAACTATAGCAATAAGTCTGCACAAAGAGCCCCTTTTTATATATCACACTTAGTGGTAGTCAAGTGATTAAGATACTTTCCGTTGAGAGAGGAACATTTTGCAACAGTAACGCGGTGCGATAACATTCCAGGGGTATTTGACGGAATGTCAGCAATTGGTATTTAGATCTATGGGTTATTTTTAGATCGTCACAAGGTACGTTGGATGGGCGCACGTTCCGAATAAGGTTTCAGTTTTTGAGAAATTTCTATATTCATGCTTTATTGGAAGTTTTGACATACCGGACTCTGTCTTCACCTGAATGAGATGATAATTCAGTTCGCACAAAGAATGCCTTTGACTTAAAAATCTTGCGCTGAGATTTTCGCAGTACTGCATAACTCTCCGCCCCGCGAATTCTGTTCTAGCAGTTCCCCCAGTTACGAAGTTCACAAGTGTCCAGTCGTTATTGCTACTTCATGCCTCATGTTCTATTCTTTGTGCAAACGTTCCACAGCACCACCCGCTAGAAATGTCATCGATCTTGGGAGATAATCGATCGTGGAAAAATGTGAAAGAGGAGAGTGACAGTGAGATTCGAACTGAGTCGCTCTGGCACCCAGAGAATTGCTTCCGCCTCCACTCAACCCATGCGCGGCAGACAGAACAAAAACGACGATGGGTCAAGGGCGACCGGTCGCCTAGTGCATTGCGAAGACATGCGCTTTACCACCCTATCACCCCCGGCCTAACCAACAAAAACTTCATTAACCTGAGCTAGGACGAACTTTGTGCTGACCATTTAAATTTCCCAAGAAAAAACTTAGTTTTCGAAAGGAAGATGACGCACTAGCTTAGCACTCCGTTTTCTGAGTAAAGGGAGGATAAAAAAATCAAGAAGAAGAAGAAGAAGAAGAAGAAGAAGAAGAAGAAGAAGAGGAAGAAGGAAAAGAAAAAGAATGTTTTTATTCCTGAAAGGGTGATCTTATAACAACGCATGACTAGACCTTCCAGCAGACCGAGATCAGGAAAACCCGGATGGCGTTTCAATCGCATCCACTCACCGAGATCATTCCAGGGACGGTCCTGTCAAGCAGACTGTATGCCTT